GCGTCACGGGTGCCTGTCGGCGATACTGCTGACATGTCGGGCAGTGACGCACCAGTTCAGAGACTTCTCTGTCTATCCCAGGCCACCAGACATACATACGAGCGAAACTTTTCGTGTGACTCTCTCCCAGATGTCCCTCATGCAGCATAGACAGAATTCTAGGCCGAATCTTGGGGGGTACCACCACCCGTGACCCCCACAGCAAACATCCATCCTGAATGCTCAGCTCACCTTCCTTGCTTCGGTACTGTACCAGCTCTGGCATCACGAGGTCGCCCGACGGCCAGCCCTCTCTGGTGAAGCGCAGAACGGCACTCAGCACAGGATCCCTGGCGGTGAACAGACGGATGGACTCAGCGGTGACCGGTGACGAGTCGAAGAACTGCATCAGGTGCACCGTCTCAGCTGGAACGGGCAGCTGGGGCGATCCTGCAGACACAGGAAGTCGGCTCAATCCATCACAGTGTCCCTGCTTGATACCCGGTACATATTCCATCTTATACTTGTACCCCGACAGCAGCATAGCCCACCGTGTCACCCGGGGAGAGGCCATCAGTGATACCGGCTTATTTCCTCCAAGCATACCCAGCAGCGGCTTATGATCTGTCCGGATCAAGAATTCACGACCTGCCAAGTAAAAATTGAACCTGGCCAGGCCAGCAATCACTGCCAGGCCCTCGCGATCGGTCTGGGAATACCGTCTCTCAGTCTCCGACAGAGACCGCGAGTAGAACGCAACTGGCCTCTCAACATGGTTCCTGTCCATGATACTTAGGACACATCCTACCCCCACCGGGCTGGCATCACAAGCCAAAATGACTGGAGCTGTCTCGTCAAAGTGCGCTAAAGTCAGGGTTGATTTCAGCATACCTTTCGTACTCTGAAACGCCTTCCTCTGAGCTGGGCCCCATTCCCACTTCTGCTCCTTTTTCAGCAGCTGATACAGCGGTGCCAGTTCTGTGGCGAGGTTTTTCAGGAACTTCGCGTAATAGTTGACCAGGCCGAGCCATGCCTGAAGCTCTTTCAAGTTTTTGGGCTCTGGGGCTTTTTCAATGGCACTGACCTTGTCTGCTGTTGGTTTGATACCATCTGCCGTGATGTGGTGTCCCAGATACACCACTTCTGATGCCGCGAACTGACACTTCTTCCGCTGCAGTCGCAGTCCTGCCTCCGACAGACGTCTCAGAACCTCCTCCAGCCGCTGCAGATGTTCCTGTTCGGATCCTGCTGAGACAATGACGTCATCGATCAGCACACCGACTCCTGGGATTCCAGCGAGCAGTGATTCCATGTATCTCTGGAAAATCGCCGGGGCTGAGGCATATCCAAAACCCAGCCTAGTCGGTACCAATATTCCCTTGTGCGTATTGATAGCCATGTACTTCCTGCTGTTTTTATCTAACTGAATCTGATTATATGCGCTTTTCAGATCTAGTTTCGTGAAAATTCTGGCACCCTGAAATAGCGTGAATAGCTCCTCAGTCTTGGGCATCGGGTACCTCTCTAGCGGCGTTACTTTGTTGACCGTTAACCGATAATCACCACAGAGACGGACCTCACCTGACGCCTTCAGTGCAGTGACGATCGGTGCAGCCCACGTGCAGTGTTTCACCGGTTCCAGCAGCCCGGCCTGGATCTGACGGTCCAGCTCGGCGTCGACAGCAGCACGGTACGCCAGCGGTACCGGCCTGGGCTTGTAGAATATGGGGCGTGTGTCTGGGTCAATCGGGATATCTACCACAATCCCCTTCGCACATCCCAACTCATCCGCAAACACATCAGAGTACTTGTGCAGCACAGACTCAACTCCGCTTCCCAGCGTCTGCGTCGTCACCATGCAGATGGTTCTCCAGTCCAGTCTGATGCTCTCCAACCAGTTCCTGCCGAAGAGCAGCGGCCCTGTCCCATCAACTACTACCAGGGGCAGGCTAAACGACTCTCCGCGGTACACCACGTCCATCTGTACCTCACCTCGGACCTTCAAAGGCTCGCCTGAGAAGGTGTGTAGGATGAGGCTGCACGGCTGCAGACGGCGTTTCTTCTCCGGCCAGAGCTCTTGAAACCTGCTGAACGAACAGACGGATACAGATGCACCCGTGTCAAGCTCCATCCTGACATCGCGCCCATCCAGCGATATGTCCAGCATGATTGGAGGCCGGCTTTTCACCACATGAATCCGCTCCCGACACTGAAAAACCTCCCCGATAAAGTCAATTTCTTCAGTGTCTGCCTCCATCACACTCTGCTCTTCCCCAGATCCATCGCCCTCCTCCTGACGGACCACCTCCGACCCAACATGTTTCACCGTCCCTGCCCGGTGAGCGGCCGACGTATGCCCATACTTGGAACACTGGAAGCAGCGCTTACGTTTAAAGTAGCATTCGGATTCAGAGTGCGTTCTGTTCAAACAGCGCCAGCATCTCTCACCTTCATGCCGGGCTTGCTTACTGGCGTTGTGTCGCTCCTGGCTGGTCCGCTGTGAGGCTGACGGGCCCGTCCGGACACGGTTCACTGCCGTCTCCCCCGTAGCGGACACCACCGGCTGGCCAGCTCCCGCCAGCTCCTGTAGGTTTTGACCTGCTGTTTCCGTTGCCACAGCAATCTTGATTGCCTGCGGCAAAGTCAGCTCAGCTTCTGCCAGCAACCTGCGCTGAATGGGGTCAGAGTTAACTCCACACACCAGCCGGTCTCTGATCATTTGATCAAGAAACGATTCGAATTTGCAGTCCCGTGACAGCTGTCGCAGGCGCGCCACAAACTCCTGAACAGACTCTGACTGTACTCGACAACAGGAAAAGAACCGATATCTTGCGACAGTTACCGATGTGGGCGGACAAAATTGCTTGCTCAATGTTTCAACAATCATGGCATACGTCACCTCATTTGGTTTCTTCGGTGACAACAGCGATCTTACCGTACCGTATGTCCGAGCTCCCATGCTGCTGAGAAGAATGGCCCTCTTCTTAGCATCGTCCTGGATGTCATTAGCCACGAAGAATTGATCCAACCTTTCCGCGTACTCTTCCCAGTTATCTTGTCCTTGGTGAAATTCTTCAATCTTCCCCAACGGCATGGCTCCGTCCTCACTCCGCTCGTCGCCAATGTTATGTCTCGCGGCCCACCATCGACACACCACCGCTCGGTTCCGACTGACTGTATTGTAGCACGGTGGTGGGGACGACAGGAGGGTCGTCCCCTCAGGCAGTCCCTGACCTCGGCAGGGGCCGACCCAGGTATCACCCACACAGTAGCAGGCAACTCACATATTCGCCACCGCCAATGCCCAGGCAGGGGTCTGCACAGGTGTGCACACGGCCCATTACATAACATTCTGTGAAGGATTTCTTGGCACTGAGTGTTCAGAAATTGCGTTGTTTTTGGACCGTGCAGAGGCTCACGATCGACAACATAGGTCAACAACCTGACGTACCTTAAATATGCGACTTGTACCATAAGATCCAGCTTGATCAAAAGATAGGACATGTCAAATTTCATCTCTTTATCTCAAAAGAATTTTGAGCTATCGTAAAAACCGCCAGTGTGGCGCCATATCGCCTCCCCGCGCGGTCGGAAGGTAAAAGTTCGCCGGCTCTAACTAAACAAATAGTCGTCGTATCGCAAATTCATTGACGGCGTTCGAAGCGTCGTTCAATTTACTTTCGAAACATATCCTAACATTACCATTTAACTGCATAGCGCAATCACCAACAAGCAAAAGTTCCGCACATTCCTCCTCATACAGTGTAAGCGGCGGCCGGCCGCCGGCCGCTGACCCACATTCGCGTCATCAGGGCATGCCGCAACTAATTTATTGTTTCCAACTTTTTTCCCGGAGCGTTCTACCTGGTTTATTTAGCCTTGGCCCTTGAACCATTCATATTCTTTTCCTAAAGCTGCTGTGATTTTTTTCGCAACTTGTTAGGTCACAACCCTTTCACTAAGCCTTTACGCAAGCCCTTCGTAACCCTTTCACACTTCACAGCCTTTTCATAACTTATTCGAAACAATTCTTTCGTAAACTCATGGTAACCCTTTCTCAGCCTTTTATTAGTTTATTCAGAGTAACCCTTTCATAACTTACTTTTAACTATGTGCAATATTTTCATAGCTCATTTAAAATAACCATTTCGTAAACTATTTGCAACCCTTTCGCGACATTTTCCTGACTCATTCGAAAAAGGCTTTTCATTAACTTATTGTAACCCTTTCACAGCCCTTTCATAATTCATTCAAAGCAAATTTCTCATGAATTATTTGTGACCCTCTCACAACTTTTTCATATCTCATTCGTAAAATCTCTTCATTAACTCATTGTAACTCTTTCGGAACCTTTTCGTAACTCTTTTGAAGGAACCCTTTTGCAAATTCTTCATAACTCTCTCACAGCCTTAATACATAACTCATTTCAAACAACACACTGAGAAAAAAAATGACACCCTTTTTGATCCGGCAGAAAACCACTCCCAAAAAAATCACGCCCTAAATGGGGTCAAAATGACTCCACGATAAACTCCTATCAAAACTCCAAAGAAGGAGTAAAAAATACTCTATAAAAAGAGTAAAAACGACCCTTAAAAAGAGTAAAAAATACTCCCTAGGAGAGGTGACTCCTTTTAGGGAATATTTTTTATCCTATTTAGGGGACATTTTTTACTCGTTTGAGGGAGTTTTAATAGGAGTTTACCGAGGAGTCATTTGACCCCATTTAGGGAGTGATTTTTTTGGGAGTGGTTTTCTGCCGGATCGTCAGAGGGTGTAAAAAATACTCCCTCATAAGAGTAAAAAGTACTCCCTTAAAGGAGTAAGTTAATTTTTGTACACCCCATTTTCAAAAGGCAGAAAATCACCCATATATATATATATATATATATATATATATATATATATATATATATATATATATATATATATATATATATATACATACATCCATATATATATACATTACACCCATCCAAAATATATGTCCATCAGCTGAGTTCAAAATGTAAAGAGTTCAATTGAATGCAAGTCAATTTATTTATAACCAATCGCGCCGACCGCAGAGCAGCTTCACATGTACATGCACAGACCTATAGCCCATTTGCAAGAGACGCACTCGATAGACGCGGACAGTCGCTCCGCGCTCTGTCTTGATTATGATTTGGCAACAGCCCTCAGTCTCGCACGCACTCTCACTGGGCTAGAAGACTACTATGACCTACATGACCTTGCGTTCAGTTTTTGGCCATTTTTAACAAATAGCACAAAACTTTTTTCACTTTCGTGTGAAAGCGCTTATGAAAAACAGAAAGGGAAAAGGCGCCTCTGTCATAGGAGAAGCGTATTTCTCGTGCCTTCACCTACTATGTATGTTAGCGTCTTCTATATCCAGCTGAAAGATCTCGTCGATTTCAAGGATGGCCGGCCGTCCCTCACACGGCTGCGTCACATCTTCCAAGGCCCCAACACTTCGAAGCCCTCAGTCAAATACTGGCATAGCTCCAAATCTGAAAGGAGGGGAATATCACAGTCGTTTTAGAGTACACCATGCATCCTGTGTCGCCCGGGAGAAATAATCAAGTAAAGGCCTGGCTACACTATGCGTTTTCTGCGTGCGTTTTTTGCGGGTTTGCGTATTTTACGTAATATCGTTCTGGAAAAAAACAACGATATTACGTTTTTGTGATGTTTTTTATATTAAATTTTAGTTAATGTAAGTTATTTGTATTTAACTAACTTTTGTACTAACTAACTTTTGTAACTTTTGTATTTAACTAATGTAAAAGTTATATTATTTATAACAAACGCAAACCCGCAAAAAACGCACGCAGAAAACGCATAGTAAAGCCAGGCCTTCAGCACTGAAGTGAACGTGACAACAAGGGGCAAGGATATAACCGAACAAAGGGAAATGACAAGAAAATGTCCTGAACACTCACATGGTAAACGCCGATAACCAGCGCGACGTCAAATGGGAATTCTGGTTAGGGTTAACCTTGAAGATAAAGTTAAAGTAGATCCGATTTCTTTGAATGAGAGGATTAGGAATACAGGTGGCCATCAAACTGCTTTAGAAAATACATGCCGACGATTAACTCTAGGAATTTTCACGCCAATATTTATTAAATAATAGCTATAATGAAATGACCCTTGTGTCGTCATAAATGACGTCACGCAAGGTCAACAATGCAAAAGTGAAGCATCGCAACTTGCAAGGAGTGCATGGAACCACGATTCTGTGTGGTTGAGCTAGTTTGAGATCGTTCCCGGCGCCAAAATAACAGTTTTCATTTTTCCCCATTGACTTGTAATGGTGAGGTCCGTGACCGACCTGACCTCATGTGAACTTTAGGAAAAATCCGAGATATACAAGTTGTGAGACCTCTGATGGACATTAGGCCCTAAAAGCTACATCTCCCTGTGAAAGCTCCTCTGGCACTGAGGGCGTTGCGAAGTTGCGACATCTGAAGACCGTGCAGAGGTTCACGTATGACGTCATAGGTCAGTGACCTGACCTGACCTGAAGATGCGGTTGGTGTCAAAAGATTCGGCTTGAATCAAAGGTCAGGTATGCCAAGTTTCAGCTCTTATCACCAGCGTGTTTGGAGCTATCGCAAAATAAAACCCTATGGGGGAGGGGGGGGGGGGGCAACACGCCCCTCCCCTCGACCGAGGTTTATTAGTTTTTAATTTGGGATAGCCAAATTATGATCCCTGGCTCACAATCACCGGTTTCGGCGCTCGCAACATCGAGAAACGCCTTAAATCAAGAATATTTAATTTCAAAGTTGCAGTACTTTGGATTAAGAGGAGCTAATGCATTTGAATACCCCCTCTGAATGTGTGACGTCAGCGCAGATCTAGTGATTTCAAAATATCATATAAACTTCTTTGTAAAGCAGTGGTGGTATATGCTGCTGCGCGCGCAACAACTGCCGCACTTCGAAGATACCAAATTATTGCGTCCAAATGACGTCGTAGGAACAGTGTACCTCCGAATAATAAAGAAAAGTAATTGTCTAATATCTTAAAACCCGGTGAATATTTTTCAATTAAATTTGGTAGATATTCATTTTTGCTCACTCTGAACCATGGGACATAGGGATGCGGAACCGTGGAAAGTTGCGACGGCTTCGGCTTCGGAGAAAACAATCGGCTCCGACTCCGGGTGAAATGTCATGGCGGTTCCGGTTTAGAGTAAAATGGGCCGGCTCCGCCGCTCCGACTCAGTACATCCCTTATGCGAAACAATGGCCGTCACCTGATGACCGGTCCTCAGGTTCTGGGCATGCAGTAGACGTGGGGATGGAGGAGCAGACAGGACTGGGAGGTTGATTGCGTACTGTAGAACACTGGGGATATGTATTCAGTTTTTTTTTTCACGTGATGGCCCGTGACGTACCACATGTTTTACTGCCTTGTACTGCCAAACCGAACTAGGTCAATTATTTTTTTCCTCTTAAAAAAAAGAGCCGGAGTTGCCCCTTCTTTGACGGCTCCGGCTTCGGACTATATTGTTTCAAGGCTCCGGCTCCGGACAAATTGTGCCCGCTCCGGCAGTTCCAGCTCCACACCCCCTGATGGGACATCATTTTTATGCCAACTCATTAACAGTTTTGAAGGTTGAAAGTTCAATTTAAAAGCAGTTTTCTCAAATAAAATTGTTGATTTGACTTCCTATTCTGAAGCAACTAATCGATGCTGGGGGAAGAGCAGTTTGTCCCTATTACATTAACCCGGCACCGCCTGGGCTATTTCCGTACCCACGACAGCCTGGGGGGGGGGTCGGATCCGACCCCCCCCCCTGTTATCTCGAGAACCAATGGTCGTATCGAGCCCCGCGAGGCGGCGTTCGAAAGGTCTCTACGAGACCTTCCCAAAGCACTCTTAAGATTTTAAGATTGAGGTCAACTTTCGGGTCAAGGTCAGGTCAAAGGTCAAATTCTGGGGTTTTGCATGATTAGGCTTACGGACAGCGGAATCGATAGCTGCTGCTCGAAACTCACCAAAAATGACCTCAAAGGCCTAGTGAAGGTACCATGTGCGTATAGGGGTCATACTAAGTACGGGTCAAGGTCAGGTCAGGTCACGAAAAGTCACGGTTTTCACTTTCTGCTACATGGGCGTGCGACACATGTTTTATGGCTTATTTTTCACGCCGAATCCGATAGTAATGGTTATATGTGACCCCAAGTCACTGTGCTGGTGATAAGTGTGCATTGAAAGCATAAAAATCGTTTATACCATACATAACTAAACGAGGGCTGAGAAAAAAGGTCAATTTTTCAACTTTTTATTTTTGACATAAAAATGCACTTTTCTAGACGAGCTTTGTCCCAGGAATCTAGTGGTGCCATTTGTTTTTTTTTTTTCACTTTCTTGTTTATTTGTACATCTTTCAATGCATTCGTTTACAAACCTTTGGATGTGTTAACATGCGCTTACATTGTTTACACAATCCCGCTTCCTGCAAGCGGCGGAAACTGGTTTACAGGGGTCACGTGTGACCATTACGTCGGTGACAGCGATGCACAGTGCGATCGAAGCGCCGCGACCGACGGGTGGAACGGCACCACTGCACTCGTCGGCCCACTGCCCGTCGCTGCCTGGCGGACAAAACGGCGAACGCTTAGCCAACCCCTTCGCGTGGTAGTATGTTTCGCTGACTGTCCGTCCTCGCTCCCACTGCACCGAGCATGGTCAACAGTTGGCTATATTTACGACAGAAGACATCTACCCTATTAGTACAGTCAGCTATATATCGCTCCACATTTAAGTAATTTGTTATAAACGTGATAAAACCGGGTGCATCTGGTCTTTTCCCCAAATTTCTACACTGCCATATGTAAGCTTTACCGAGCAGGAGCGCCGCCCGCAGCGGCGCCGCCGCCAATGGTCCGTTGCGCTCACACGTGCCCAGCACTATCACCGACGGCACAAGAGGCGTGGCAAGCGAGAACATTCTTTTGAATTCTAACCAAAAGGTTTTACTGGATTCGCAACTCCAAAAAATATGCAAGATGCTTTCAACGGGCCATGAACAACGATCACATTTTTCGTCGTCCCTAATACGGTATAAAAACAGGAGCCTGTTTGTAGGTAAAATCCTATGTAATAGACGTAACTGTAGCCAGCGAATTTTGAAGTCATTTGTGCTTTCATAAATACATTTAAAGACTTCTTTCCATGAGCCTGTTTGGATTTGTAGTTCGCGTTCCCATTTTTCTTGAGCTTTATTAGGAGTAGTTGTCACAGTGAGATTTATCATTTGTTTGTATGACCACTTTGCCGTTTTGTAAGTATTGTTTAATTCCTCGTATAAATCAACCTCCTGATGATTCATTGTTTGTTCGGGCCTGTTCAGTTTGCATTTCCAATCTCGTGGAATTCGTTCCAAAATAGTGTGCCAGGTAAGGAAGTGACCACAATTATACTTCCTCTGTAGTTCATCACAGTTCATGATACGCCTAGCGCTGGCATTATACAAATCTTTAATTCTCAATACGCCATTCGATAACATCCTTCTTTTCGGAATGCTGGGATGGTTATCTAATCGCAATGCCTGATTGAGCCAAAGGGACTCGTTTATGATCGACAACTCAGTTAAACTGTTACCCTGTGAGATAGTCTGCCAGGCAAGTACCGTCTCTATCCAGAAAGGATTATGCACTACATCACATAACTCTTTCTTCGCTATGTTGCATTCAAAAATACTAAGGGTATCCGTAACACTGAGTTTGCTTTTCATCACGTCTTTCCATTTCCCTCGGGTATCATCGTCAAGGTATTTCTTGACCCATGTTATTCTAAGGCTGTCGGCCTGTACTGACGGATCTGGCACTTTTAGTCCTCCAAAGTGATAGTCATTTTTCATTGTTGTTCTCTTTATCTTATCCTTGCCTTTGTTCCAAATAAAATTGAACATTATCTTTTCAATCTCTTTTAATTGCTGTTTGTCTGGTTTCTCTATTACTGACATTGTGTATACCAACTGTGACAATGCAACAGATTTAATTAGATGGACTCTACCGTATGGAGTTAAGCCAAACTTGAGCCATGGGTTTAGCGTTTTTTTAAGCTTCTTTATTTTTTCAGGATAGTTTAGGCTTGCTAAATCTGATTTCACTGGGTCGACTCGCACACCTAAATATTCTATCGGACCTTGTGTCCAACAAAGTTCCAGGTCATCACAGATCTTGTCAGTCCTATGCTTATGTTTTCCAATCCACATTGCATTTGACTTGTGCCTGTTAAGCACTAACCCAGATAATCCACCAAAGCTTTCAAACATTTCCATACACACACGTAAGGACTGCTGAGACCCATCAAGTATTAATGTTGTATCATCTGCATAGCTCGAAATTTTTACCTCAGTGCCATTAAATGTCATACCCTTAATACGCTCATCCCTACGAATTGACTGAAGGAGCGGCTCCATGCAGATGACGAACAATAAACAACTCAGGGGACATCCCTGTCTTAACCCCCTCTCAATTTTGTATGGCCTTGACAGGTGTCCGTTCATTGTTATCTGCGCACTTACAGGATTGTTCGGACATTGCGTGTAAAGCATTGAGACCCATTTTATAAAGTTCTCCCCGAAACCAAATTTGTGCAAAGCAGCTTTCAAGTAGTCCCAGCTCACACAATCATATGCCCGCTCAAAGTCACAGAACACGAACAGCCCTGGTAAGTCACGTTCACTCGATTCTCTTATGATATCAATAACCAATCTTACATTCTCGCCTATGTATCGTCCTTTTAGAAAACCAGTTTGGTCTTCATTAACCAGACACTGGATCACCTTTCCAAGCCTTATGGCTAAACTTTTTGTGATGAGCTTGTAAGCAACATTCAATAGACTTATTGGTCTTAGATTTCTTACCAGACGTTTATCCTTTCCCTTTTTTGGAATAAGTGTTGTTATACTGCTCTTGAATAGTTTTGGTACGCTCCCGTTTACAAAAAATTCCGTTGCTACCTGCCCTAATATACCTTTTAGTTCGTTCCAAAATATTTTATAGAACGCTGCAGAAAACCCATCCGGTCCTGGGCTAGAACCATTTTTCATCGTTAGCAGAGTTGATCCCAACTCCTCTTCCGTGATAGCACCCTCACACTTTTCCTTCAGCCCAGATGGAAGTTGTTCAACATCGGCAAAATAATTTAGATTGTTATCACTGCGTGAAGCAATGAAACGATATCGATCTTCAAAGTGCGTAACGCACTCTTCTAACATGTCTTTTGTTTTGTTTGAATAAGTTCCTGGTGCCGTCTGTTCTAGCTCTAACGATTCGTAAGACAAACAACCCCGATTACGTCGGATAAGATCATGGAAGTATTTCGTGCCTCGTTCTGCATTTTGCCGCCAGTTTGCTTTTGAATAGAACATATTCCTTTCGGTCCGTTGTTTGATCAATTCGTCGCGTTCCATTTTTAGCTCACTTAACTCGTTGCTGTCCCTTAATGAGCTGTCGTTATCCATTTCACTGATCTTTTTATCCATTTCCTGAAGTGCCTTGTATCTCTCTTTCTTTTTGTAACTCCCATATTTAATAGTTTCGCCTCTTACCACGCAGAGAACAGTTTGGAGCAACGTATGTTTACTCACATTATCCGTATCGTTTATACGTATTGTCTCTACAATAAGCTGCCTAATTCGGTTAACATAGTCTACGTCCAGCAAAAGCGAGTCATTAAATTTCCAGTAAGACTTCCCTACGTCATCTTCGCCTAGTTGCAAACGAATCTCAAGTCTCCTATGATCTGTTAAATAACCGTCTAAAATTTTTACTTCTGGCTTAGCCACTCGAAATAGGCAACTTGAACTTATCAAGAAGAAGTCAATTCTAGATTTACTCGGGGGGTTCTCTCGATGGAAGGTATACTGCTGCACATTGGGATTATTTACTCTCCATACGTCTACAAGGTTTCTGTGCTCCATAAATTGAAGGACAAAGTCTCGACACTTGTTGTTATTAACAACTCTACGTGCAGTGCTTAGCCGATCTACCGAGATATCGAACACAAAATTCCAATCTCCACCAATTACTAGAGTTTCACTGTTTAATTCTTCGCAACTGTTGAACAGATTCTCGAATGTGCTAACATTGTCACAGTTTGGTCCGTATATGTTTGCTAGGGTAATCTTAGACCGATTGATTACTGCTTTGACGGCAACAAACCGGCCAGCCGTACATGTCCTAACATCAACTATTTCTATTTTAGCTAATGGACTGAGCAGGATAGCTACCCCTCTGCTATTACGATCACCGTGAGAAAAATAGCATTTTCCACCCCATTCGTTTTCAATAAGCTTTCCTAGGTTCTCATCACTGTGTGTCTCCTGAAGGAAGACGACATCTGGTGCTAATCCCTTAAGCCAGGTGAAAAGTTTACGCCGCTTTAGAATACCACGACTCATTGTTCTAAGCCCGTTGACATTTAATGAGACTATATGTATTGACATTTTACGTTGCTCGTTACCTGCACGCACGCCTCCTGTACCGTCTTACCACCAACAACTCCAGATTCCATGCTCGCGCAACGGACGGCGCCACCGCGACGGCCAGCGCTCCCGCCCCAGATGCTTCCTCTCCTCGACCCCATTGCGTACACCTGTGAGTGAGAAATAAAGTCACCATCGATTCTGAGTAACCACCATCGTGGGACCATCGCTCCTGTCACCAAAACACCCCTGCGTAGCCAACAGCCGCCGGACTCAGCTCGATCAAGTCCGCCACCGCTGTCGCCGCCCGCGCAGCGACAGTTGTAAGCTCCCACCAACATGACTATCACCCCTACTTCAACCAACCAATCAACCTAAATACGTACGGCACTGACGGTGAAATTGCCGGCCGGCGCCACTTGTATTCGTGCTAAATATGAAAACAGATTATCATTGCCACCTACTTTACCGTTTACACTTTTTTAAATGTGCTTTCCTTGTAAATGTAGCTACCTTATTTTAACATCGCAAGCAAACATCGGTAAGTATTTTTTTTTTACTTTAGCTAAAGAGATGTCGGGATCATTCAACATTTTTCATCTTAAGACGCTTTAACTAAATATGTACACATGAAAAACATTTGAGACAAAAGAGCTCTGTGGAATCTATTACCGTGTCACCGTTAAATTAAACCCAAAGCAACAACAACATCGAAAATTGTTACGCTGAAACGTCAAGATGAAGCCAACAGAGAAACTAGAGAACGTGTATACTTATCAGTTTTTACTCTTCGTTAGCGTTGGCTCGAAGTGTCGAAGTTCCCACCTCTCTCCCGGATGCCGCCGCCCCTCCACTGCCGAGCACCTCCGGCGCGGCACTGGCCGGCGCGCGGCCCCGCCCCGCCGCGACCCAGGCCGCGCAGAGGCGCCGCCAGGTCCCGTCGGCTCGAGGCGCCCGCTCAGGTCACGACTCACGAGCAGAGCCGTCCGCCCCGGGATCACTTGCTGCGGCGTCGACGTTCGACGAGTTCCGCGGCTCATTCCCTCCGCGCCGGGAAGGGGACGAATCCGGACGCGATGAAGTCTCCTCAGGCTCCGGCGCCGGCCCCGTCGCGCCGATTGGTGTTTGAATCTCGAGCGACCCTGGGCCGCGCTGCGTCGAGTTCAACTCGGGTCCCACGGCGACCCGGCGGCGGGCAGGATCACGGCGTCCGCCCCGCGCCGAACCCCCGGGCCGCCCAGCTGCAGGCCGCGCAGGGGCGGCGCCAGGTGCGGGCCGCGCAGGGGCGCCGGACAGACCCGCTCGCCGCTGACCGGCGCCGGGACCTTGTGGGTTGAAGATCGTCTTCACTTGGTCCATGTTGTAGATGCGCCTCCCCGGTGACTCGAAGTTCTGTTTGCAGAACACCAAGCCTCTCTTCGTATATACTGTGTATATGCGTCTCTGTCGTTTTGCCTCCAACAGGGCATTGAAGACCGTCTGATTTGCTGGTGACAACGACTCGTTGATGAAGAGAGGTGCCAGTTCTGGCCTGGAATCGCTGGGGTTAGTGCGGCTCAGGCGTTTTTCGTACAGCTCATTTTTGCGATCGGTCTTCACAAACTTACAGATGACGGTTTGTTCACCTTGCAGTCTGTGCACTGTCTGGAAGTCGTCACCTGATATTTTGAGCTCCGGGAACCTTTTGTTTATTACTTTCACCGTCTCTGCCTCTATGTTTTCGTTGATCTTTCTCCCACCAAAATCTTGACACTTCAGGATAAGAGTATTCATTCGCCTGTTTGTTTCCATGCGGTCCACCTGTTCACTCAGTGATCTGATGGTAGCCTCTTGTTCGGCTAGTTTCTCATGCATCATTTTACATTCACTGCTCCTTTCAAAACATTCCACCTCCAGAACCTCAATTCTCTTTTCAAACGCTTCAAACTTTCTTTCTATCTGAGACAGCACTTTCCCTATTCCATCTTCAACGATTTTCTTTACCGCAATCAACGACTCACCAGCCAGGACGCATGAGTGGACAGGGTCATCAGCGTCCTCGTCTTCCTTGCTGTCACGCTTGTGTTTCTTGGATTTTCTTTGTTCTGCACGCGAACACGTCGCCTTCCTCAGCAATGTCGGCGGACCTTTACTGGCGGGTCTCGCCTGATCTTTTCCGGTGGCGCTGTCCTCAGCGTCGCCAAAAACAGAGTCCGCGTCTGACGCCGCCGTGTCCGACAGCATAGACATGGCGTGAAGATCGCCGGATGCCACTTTGTTTGCTCGAACACTTGATCAAACACTTTCTTGATCAAACACTTTCTTCAGCCTGCCCGTCTGGTACTGGGCGCCGGCCGGCCACCACCGCTCACTGGCCGCCCCTCACTCCGCTGACATGCCGAGCCCCGGGGCGCACCTCCGACCGGTCCGAGGGTCAGGCCGCGACTGGTGCCATTTGTTTTCACATGCGATGTTCAGAAGTGCCTCTAATTCACGAAAATGCTTATGACGTCACCATGCCCTATGCATGTTGGAGCTATTTTTTACAATTTGGGGGTCAAAAATCAAGATAGAAAGTTGAAATTTGGGACATCTAATGTTCTAACAGAGCTCTATAACATATATTCCGGTTTTTTTGGAAATTCTCAAAATTTTGGATTTTATTAGCTGTTTTCCAAAAAATGTAGTTTTTTGAATTTTTAGGGGTGAAAAACGCATTTTATGGAAAATCCGAGATAGCCATTTTAAAGAACTCGTTAAGCTGCGTTTATTCATGTCCTTAATTTGCAAATTGCTTTAAACCCTGATTTTTGGCGATTTTTTAAACATTTACCACTTTTTGACAAAAAATTGATTTTTTTTCTTAAAAATTACACAGAAGACGTCAAATTGATGGGGAAGAAGGTATGCCAAGTTTCAAGTTGATAGCGTAAGCGGTTCTTGAGTTATTCAAGAAAAACGGAGGGGGGGTCGGATCCAACCCCCCCCCCAGGCGGTCGCGGGTTAATCCGGATAAGGCAGTGAGAAATTGTACCAACACGTATACATACCTACCCCAGGCATCCACGGTGTGCAGTTCAAGCCGACAGCAGTCATGCTCCCGCAGCAGTCACAGCTGGGATTTCCAGCCACTCAGCACACTCAGAATGGGGAGGTGCCCACTCGTATTGCGCTGGTTTCCTGCCAATCTTGACAGCATACTCCAGATCTGGGAATGTTGAAACAAATACAAATAAGTAAAAAAAAAGAAAAGAATACATCTACACCTTTTTATGCGCAATTTCAAAAAGTTAAAGACCAAATTCAAAACGTTCACGTGCATTTCGAACATAAACTTTTTGAATTTGGTCTTTACCTTTTTGAACTTGCGCCTAGAAAGGTGTAGACACTAGACTGACATAAACGAGCATAAAACTGAGTCTAGTCAAAGGAAACTGGAGGACTAGGAGCATATGTCCAGTGACATCATCATAGTCTACATATTTTGTCAGTCACAACCTTCATACATTTACCCAAGCATAAACTAACGTACATGTGTAGCAGGCATCTTACATGTAGTCAATGCTTTGTGAAAAGTATGAAGAAGTAGTATGCAGTGCTCTAGCGAGGAACATCTTGATATATGTAGTTTGGTTTTCAAATGACCTTTTCCTCGATAATTAATTGAAAATGCAATAAAAAGCAAATATTATATTGTTTGGCAAATTTTCGAACAACAGTTAATATCAAGCCACATGAAACAATTGTCAATTGTTTCATGTGGCTTGAGAATGAACTGCGTTCGAAAATTTGCCAAACAATATAATATTTGTTTTTTATTGCATTTTCAATTAATTATCGAGGAAAAGGTCATTTGAAAACTAAACTACACTTTGTGAAAAGTCTCCATGATCCAGTTCTTGAGACATTTACATGAATATCATTTTAAGTTACCTACGCATTGTAGATGTTAAGTTTGTAGTTTGTTAGGTTGTATGTTAGAAGGTAAGCTTAGGGGAAGTTTGATTGTTTACCTAATTCTAAAAAAATGAATAATTAGGAGACTTTTATGATCAATTTCATATAAGTATCTCAAGAACTGAAGCCAAGCAACTTTCTTCAAACAGTTGGCAGCATGTAAGATGCCTGCTATAGTAATACCCAACCTACATACCTACAACCCACCAACCTACAACCTCACAACCTTAAGCCATGGATGGATACTTCATCCATGCTTAAACCTATGCAGACCTTTTGTATATGTACTAAGTTCAACCATCACTGTAATCGTCTCTTTGAACACAGCACGAGAATTGCTGGCTGAATTACTGAGGAAACTGGATGGCGAACATTTATTTCACAGACGATCAACTTTAATCAAAATTATTTCTACCTGGTTCCAGACTCCAGTGTCCTAGAATTAGTTGATTTCTGTGGGAAATGACATTCAAAAGAAGACAATTTTCCACTCTCAACTTCAATAAAAAAGAGCATTTCCATAGATGGTCTAAACAACATATTGATTCACACATTAGAAGGTACATCCTACTGCATTTGTGAGGAAATGCATGCTATCAATTCATTTTCCTTCCATTTTTACCACCATCTGTTTTTTTTTTTTAGGTTTGCCGGACCCAAAATTTTCCACTCTCTTCCCCTGTCCACTGAATAATTTTCCCCTCTGACACCCAAGTAAAAATGTAATTTTGAGTCACTGTTTGGTTCCTATTTTCCCAAAATCGCATCTCGTATTTACATTTACAACCTTGCAGGGATACTTATTGGTAAGCCACACTTTGATTAACATAACTGCATTTTATCATTGTTAAAATCTTATTTTGAAATTATTATTCATAGCTCCAATACTGATACAAAGTGCACTCACCAGTTTTCTCAGTTAAATCAGTCAGCAATTTTCATGCTGTGTTCAAAAGACGCTTACAATGAGGGTCAAACTTTGAAGAAAAAAAACTACAATACCAAATAGCCATTTTGCACCCTAGGCTCTAAACTAAATAAGAACCCTGTCACATTCTGGCACTGAGCCAGACTGGGAAAATACACATTATGCCAAATATCTCTGGCGTAGTGGTGGGATTGCGCCGAAAAATTGAGCGCATGTCTGGCATAATTTCACATGCACCAAATTCAGTGCATGGTGGCCGCTGAATTTTTTGGCGCAGGGCTGCAGCAGAATTTTAGGTATTTTTCAAGCTGAGCTCCTAACTACAATTGTGACACTGTTGATACAAACATGCAACAACAGAAATTTTAGGTTTTAGGTTAGGTTAGGTTGTAGGTTTGTAGGTTTAAGGTTGTAGGTTGGTAGGTTGTAGGTTGTTAGGTTGTAGGTTTGTAGGGTGTGGGTTGGTTGTTTATAGGTAAGTAGGTAAGGTTAGGTCAGGTTTGATTTTTTCTTTTATTTGCTAGGCATATAAGATCATTTTTGGATTGAGGATGTCAAATAATGTATGAATATGAAAAAATTATCCTTGAAATCTACTCAGGACTTTATCTTGACATTTACCAAATTTTACTGCGAATGGTGGTCACCAGATATTTCAGCACGCTGGTCAATCTAGCAGCAGACTCGCCCTGCGAGCTGGTCTGAAGAGGGTCTGAACTTGCCACAGCATGACGCTAGTGTGACACGCGCATTGTGGTATTGGGTCTTCATGGGAACATCAACTGATTCAGATTCTCAAACAGGGGAGAGCGTCCGAGGCCCCAGAACATTCCTGGTTGATATAGCCTTCGTCGGTAGGTAGATGTGCACATGCTTTATTGTTATGTAGAAGTGGCGGTAAATATTTACATAAAGTCCGATCCATATTTCAAGCATAAATTTTGCATATTCTTACGTTATTTGACATCCTGAATGTAGATATGATGCTTACATGCGGCGGAAAACAGTGCTACCATATTAAAAATATTTGCTACCATATTTGGGGAAATGTTGGGAACCAGGGTTTTTGGGTGGGGGAGGAAATACAATGCCGTAAGAATGGTTATGAAAGTTGGGGGAAACTGTTGGGAACCGGGGTTTTTGGGTGGGGGAGGGGGAATCGGGGTTTATGGGTGGGGAGAGAAACCCCGGTTCCCAACAGTTTTCCCCAACTTTCATGACCATTCTTACGGCATTTTATTCCCTCCCCGACCCAAAAACCCCGGTTCCCAACATTTCCCCAAATACGGTAGCAAATATTTTTAATATGGTAGAACTGTTTTACGTCGCATGTAAGCATCTTATCTACATTCAGGATGTCAAATAACGCAAGAATATGCAAAATTTATGCTTGAAAAGTGGATCGGACAGATAAAATTTACTTACCTCTAATCTAGTTCACCGTGGTTTCGAAAAATACGCTGGACGCGTTCCTCGTTGCGGTACGCAACAGAAGCTAGTTCGTATTCCTCCCACTTGCACCCGGAGCACAACGAACCACCCGGCACGGAAGCCATGATCCAACTAACAGACTGGCGGGAAAGCGGAAAGCACTGGAAAGCACCTGCTAAAACTGGTTCAAACCAGTTTGCTCAAACGGAAACGGAAGTTTCTGCTCTAGATTGCGGGTACGAATGGAAAGAAGTTTACGTAAGGTCATAGCTATTAGGCATATTTGATAGAAAAGATATCATAATTATATTATTTGAACATAAAAAATATAAAAAAAATCATCAAAAAGCAATTTAAATGTAAAAAGCATTACTTCTTCTCTATTCAAATTGTTTGATGAAAGTGACGTCAAAATAACAAAACACGAAAAAAATGTTTAAAAAATTGGAGTTTTGTCGGGTAGGATAGGAAAAAAACACGACAAAAATTGTCAGAACCTAATCTAACCTGACCTAACCTGACCTACTGATTTTTGCCTACCCGGGGATAAGGAAACAGTTGCTCGCATGAATAGATTGCAAGCAATGGTAAGTCAAATATTTTTAGGTTAAGTGGTTGTGCATCAGGCCTCAGGCCTTCGGCCTGAGGCCAGATACACAACCACTTAACCTAAAAATATTTGACTTACCATTGCCTGTAATCTCTCCTAAGGCATTGCCTTCGGCACTGCACTGCTTCGCCACGATCATTTTCATGACGTCACTTTCATAATGAGATTCAATAGCGTAATGTTTTCACTCAACCTTGGAGTTTATTCATTCGATCCATCTCACATGGCGCAAACGGCTGGTGGAGTGCGTTGACGGCGGGTGTCGTGGGATGGTGGCCGGCGGCGACGGTAAATATTGCGCAGTTGCTTTAAAACTTGGTTGCGCCATTAATAACTATCAGATATGGAATCAGGAGCTCAAAATACATCGAGTGGTGTGGTTTTTAAAATCACCTTGTTGATCGGACCTTATGTATATAAATACCGAAGTGGCTTACTTCGGCACAAGTAGGCACAGAGGCGGATCCAGCTCAGAGGTTTGGGGGGGGGGGCAAACCATAAAAATTTATCGATTCTTTCCATGCATCATCCATAGGCGTAATGTTAAAATCATGCCGTTTGGGGGGGGCAAATGCCCATTTTGCCCCCCCCCCCCCCTGGATCCGCCACTGAGTAGGCACCAAACTTTCAAGGCAAATGATGCAGAAATTTCACCGCAAAATTGCTTGCATCGAATTTCGGCACATGAGGGTCTCACGGGCGTCCGGCGTAGTGTATGGATGTTTTCCAGTCTGGGCACTGGCACCAGCACTGAGAAGCGGCGTACCTAACAATCATTTGACAGGCGAATTGAATGATCTTGATCTAATGCGAAAAAAAAAAAAACAGGACAAACAGCATGACAAGTGAAATACGTACCTTTCTTCAGCGGTTCAATCTTATAGATCTCATTCTTCGATCAACCCGCCACAACAAACACGTGTCGCGACACAATCCATCACAACAAATCGGAAACTAGCGTCACGCAGCGCCGCCTGATTTAACAAATGTTTTTAAAATAAATTATCGCTTTTACCATATATCTCACTTTAAATAATAAAATATTTTTGAAATAAATATAAATGAAAAGTTCATTTAAAATTATAATGTAAATTCAAATAGGTAGAGCTAAAAATTAGCCAATAATATCGGGGGGAATTGGCCAGCAAATAGTTCAGCGCTTGTCACATGCATGATGCAACCATCATGTGGCCAATACAACTGAGACGACAGATGCTGGTAAAAAGCAAGCGAAAACAGGGACGTACTAAAGGGGGGTGGACCGGAGCCCCCACAGTGTTTTCGGGGCCCGGGATGGAGTCGGGGCCCCGCGGGCCGGGGGCCCCACGTTGGCCGGAGTCGCGTCAGAGTCTAGGGAAATACGCGGGAGTCCCTGGGGTCACGTTGGGACGGTCGGGGTCCTCCATAGCAGCTTCCCCCCCCCCCCAACTCTGGGGCCGTGCAGGGGCGGTGCGCCCACAACTTTGAGACGAAATACTGCACTTTTTTTGCAAATGTTTCCTTTTTTGTTGACAAAGCCAAGGGACGAAAAATCAGTGGCCTTAAAAACCGGTGAGAAAACTAGAGTTGGGGGTACCCCAGGCTGATCTCTATTATGGTGTGCCCCCCCCCCAGTCTGAAAGTAGTTCCCGCGCCCCTGCCCTGGGGCCCTCTGACCGGACTGACAGCTGCAGGGTCCTTCTTGCTGCCTGGGGCCGCCTGTGGATGGCCGCTGGTGTCTGTGTCTGACCGCGGCCCCTCTGACTCCTCAGTGGAGGGGGCCCTCTATTATAGGTGAGGGCCTTCTGTCATGGGTGGGGCCCCCTGTGGAGGGGACTCTTTGGAGGGGGTCCTCTGTGGAGGGGGCCCGGGATTCCTCTGCCCCCTTAGCTGAATCCTAGGTATCGTACTGGGGGGTCGTATCAACCCAACTCTCCGTGTTATGAGAAATGCCCCGCCCATGATGCGAAAGTTAATGGACTCTGTAAAGGGAGTTTTGTATGGTTTCAAAAATACACTTTTTCGGGGGTAAAATATACACCCCTTAAAACACCATCGTCTTCGCTTGACACGCTATTAAATACCCTTAAAAGTATATTGTACTCTGTAAAGAGAATTTTATAGGGTATCAAAAATACACCCTTTTAAAAGGTTTAATATATACACCCCTTAAAACACCCTCATCCGCTTGACACCCTATAAAAAACTCCTAGAAAATATAACGGACTCTGTGAAGGGGGTTTTTAAAGGGTGTCAAAAATACACCCTTTAATGGATAAGGTGTTGACACCCTCCATGACTCCCCTATTTCTCCTTGACACTCTGAAAATACACCTTGAAAAGAGTCGTCATTGGAACAAAACTCACTTTCAAGAGTCATGTGACCCGTAAAAGGGTCTTTTAGAGAGTGTATACACCCTTAAAAACTCCCTTTATTTTTTATAGGGAGTTTTTATTTTTCTCAGTGCACTTTTGGTAACTTGTTGGAACCCTTTCGCAAAATTTTCATAACTCATTCACAGTGTCCCAAAATTTGTCAATTTGGGTGGAACAAGACATCCAAATGAAAACAATTTTCCACTCCCACCTCCAACTTTCAAGAGCAATTTAACACTCATGAAAGAGCATCTGCTTGCATGATCGCATCAGATTCTGCCATTGTACAGAAAAGTGTGCAATTTTTCCTTCTTCTGTTCTTTATTTTTTTTTTGGGGGGGGGGGGGCTAACCTTATCAAGAATATACCACCCTCATCCCTTTTTTTGGAGAGGAATTTTCCCCTCTAACATCCAAGCATTAACCCGCGCCCCGTTGGGCTCTGCCGAGCAACGCGCCCCGTTGGGGGGGGGCATTTTGGCCCCCCCCCTAAGATCTCGAGAACCACGCAACCTACGACAAGCGGCAAACGATGTTAGATAGCCCTATCAGGGAACTACCTTGTGACCCAATTTTATTGACCTAGGTCAAACCGATGACGTCACAGGTCAGGTCAAAGGTCCAATTTTCACCGTTTACAGGCATTTCAAGAAATGCGCTGTAAAATCGAGTAAGATGCATTTCATTGAAAATCATCGATGGGGAAATGTTCTTCAAACACATATTTTGCTAGTTGAGGTCACTGATACCAGGTCAGGTCACAGAGGTCAGGTCACTGGGGGGTCACAATATGAAAGTGTCTTGTGATACATGTTTTATGGTCCATTTTACATGACAAATGCGATTATGTGGGTCAGGCAGCCTTTGGGGCCAGCTTAGGTCACGTTTTGGTCAAGGTCAGGTCAAATTAGGTCAAATTTCAAAGTTGATATTTTTGCATAAAATGGGTATCAACTCGATGCAGCTCGTCACGGGGAGTTCAATGGTGGTCTTTGTTTTGCCGTAAGAGGTCTAGAATCGCAAAAAATTGAGTTCAAACATTTGACGTCATCATTTTTGAACAGTTTTTTTCACTATAACTTGGCCAAAAAACGAGATATCGATCTGAAATTTGGTATGTATATAGAAGAGCGCGGGGAATATCACATATATTCCGGTTATTTCGAAATTTGGGAAAATTTTGGATATTTTTTAGTTTTTCTAAAAAAAATCAATTTTTTGAATTTTTTTGGGTCAAAAACCCAAAATTTTGAAACGTCGAGATAGCAGTTTTGTAGCGCCGCTTTTTGTCTACTAGAACATATAAAGAACTTTGAAATTGCTTGATAACTGTAGATTTGGTGAGCGTTTCAAGATTTCATGTTTTTTGCTCATTTTTGCTCGAACATGACCTCAGTTTGACCTCAATAACTCCTGACCTAAGGTGACCTAAGACTTAAAATTTCGTGTGAAGGTGTCAAATTGATGCTCGGGAAGGTACTGAAAATTTGGCGGCGCTGCGCGCCGCCGTTGTTTTGCTATTTAGGAAAAACTACAGGGGGGCCAAAATGGCCCCCCCCCCAAACGGGGCGAAGGTTAATATAATTTTGTGACACTGCAGTCATTCGACACTGCCCTTTTGTAAATTATTTGGAACCCTTTCACAACATTTTCATAACTTGTTTGAAGTGATTCTTTCATAACTACCTTTGACATCAGCTTCCCAAGTATGTATTGATCTTCCCTTTTTAACATTAATGTAACAAGTAGTGCCTACTAAATTTATTAGTATGCCATTACCACCCAATGTCATTACAACATGCTGCTGAAATCAGAACATGTGTCACTCATGTGCAGTTTCAAGAATTGTTGTGGTGGCTCTGCAGTCTGCAACCCACTTCATTAAACGGCTGCTTGTTACCTCCTCAGATAGTAGGCATATGCTTCTAACCTGCATATATTAATTCAGGCTGCTTTGAAAAATTGACTTTCTTTGAAATTGGTATCCCATTTCTCAAGTACCTAGATAATATGCTCTCTTTCTGGGCTGATTCATAGTAGTGACAGTGTCAGTTATCAGTTTGTATTTATTGTTTTGCAAATTATAATATTACCATCAGGCTGCTCACGCATAAGTGTGAAGTTTCACTGGTGGGGACCGAAATTCCTCATAATACCTATTTACCTAGGGCTAAGGGGTTTTGATATGAGCCTTCTGGTGAATGACAGTGATACTGAAGAAAATGTTTTTGTGACAATTTGGCTTTTCTTTCCAGATGAGTGCGACACCTACGTGCATCAACGTTAAGTGGACCTAAAGGACATCGTCAGCACCGAGATTTGCCAGCTGGATACGCAGTGGGGCTACACGCAATGGAGGCACGCGTACCACTCGTCCTAGACAAAGAAACGTCCTCCGTGCTTCCGACGAACTTCAATCGGCGCGAAATTCCTAAACATCGAGTCACGAGTTTATTCAGATTAAAATAGCATGCCGAGGAAAAATCACTGTTCGGGACGAAAAGTGGAGTTCAGTAATTTAGATAAAGCCGGCCGTTACAAAATCATATTGTTCTTGTTTTTGCCCTCCTGCCATGGATTTCCTCGGCCTCCAAAGCGGGATGCAGCTGCGACTGCTACTTCTTAACCCTCGCCGGACCTATTGGTTTTCTACACACGCGCCGGCCGAGGAGGGGGGGGGGGGCGGGTACGACCCCCCTCGCCGTTTCGCCCCTGGTGGAGCTAGCGCGTCGCGGAAAAAGCGAGCGTGTGCGCCGTTACGAGACGCAGAGATTGGTACCCGATTTTAAGGTTCTGGGTCAACCGGTGACCTCTGAGGTCAGGTCAAGTGCCCCAAGGTACGGTTCAGTTTTTGGTGAATAACTTCGCAAAAAACGGCCGCAGAGCGCCGATTTTGGCAGCATCGTGTTCGCCTCGCTCAGGCGCGTCGAATGATATACTTTTTGTCCGGGTCAGGTCAAAGTCAGGTCAGCAACCCCAGGTCACGAAGTTGGTCGAAAGAGGTCATGTCGCATATCATTCGATTCGGCAGGCCTTCCTGAGTCCATTGGTGGCTTTCTCGACTCGCTACCTCAATTTGATCAAGAGTTATTGACGAAAAACTAATATGACCTTGATGACGTCATAAATGACGTCACGCAAGGTCAACATTGCAAAAGTGACGCATCTAACCCTGCAAGGAATGCATCAAATCACGATTTTGTGTGCTTAAGATAGTTGGAGATCGTTCCCGGCGCCAGAATAGCAGTTTTCATTTTTCCACATTGACTTATAATGGTGAGGTCACGAAAATGACCTGACCTCATATGACCTTTAGGAAAAATCCGAGATATACAAGTTGTGGGACTCATAATGGATACTAGATTCTGCAAGTTTCATTTCCCTGTGACATCTCCTCTGGCAGTGAGGGCGTTGCGAAGTTGCGACATCTGAAGACCGTGCAGAGGTTCACTTATGACGTCATAGGTCAGTGACCTGACCTGACCCAAAAATGCGGTTGGTGTCACAAGATCCGGCTTGGATCAAAGGTCAGGTATGCCACGTTTCAGCTCTCTATCGCCAGCGTGTTCGGAGCTATCGCGAAAAAACCCTATGGGGGGGCGGCACCCGCCC